CGAGCCGACTCATTCGTGCTACAACTACTACCAATATAACTGCAGCATGGCTCTACCACGTATAAAATTGTAATTAACAAATTGGTAGCAGCAGACATCGTATCCAGGTTATCTCGCATAGCGTGTAATTTACGGTGAATGCCTAGGAGTTCGTCTAGATAGGTACAATCCTCTAATGCATTTCTGTCGTCAACAGCCGTGTGTGTACTGCCATGTTACGGCTGTGTGTCTTCAACTGCAACAGTTGGCTCTTTCTGGCAGACAGGTCTCTAGCAAAGACTTTGGAGCACTGATTGCGCTCGATCGCTTCTTCAATACGAGGATTTGGAGATCTGTCTATTCAGTTAGTTGCCTGTACGCTATCAAATCTGTTGAAGAGTGCAGCTTCATTTCCAGTCTAAAAGACATGAGATTAAGAGTGTGATCGGAGAGTTTTTGTGTTCTTCTATGACGGGTTTTGAAGAACTTAGCTCCGACAATATAGACAGTTTCCACGAGCTTGTCATGTATTTCGTCCACTGCGTGGAAGTCTTCTAGGCACTAGGTGGATGACATGGGTAGAAAATTCTCTTATACCGCCAGTACATGGGCATTTGATACTGTTATGTGTGCAGTATAGTGACAGTGTTAGGTAAGCAGTGTATTAGCAGTGTAAAAACTCATATGATTCCGTAAATGTCGTAAGAGGCGACACAGGGAGACAAGTCAGGGCATCGTCTTCCTAATAACGAGTAAAAAAAACTGAGGTTGCCACTGCGCTTGCCAAGCAGTGCAACTATGGCAAATAATCCCCCAAGAAACAATCTTTGAGGGATGCTCAGCAGTGGACTCTAATGGGTTGTAATGGATGGTAACAGATATAATCATAAAAGTATATATTTAAGATGTTAAAAATAAAATTAATAAAGTCTTTTAAGCTTTAATACGACCTGCTGTAGCGTAGGTATAAATCTGTTCTCATTTTGGAGAAACCGATATAGAATACTGTTCTCATATCTGAGTCGGGAAACCCCAGGAACTCTTTCACTTGACTGCATTCAACGGAGAGCGGCCTAAATCATCGACGACCAATTTACTTCCGATCAGCTTGATCCAATGGCAATGGGAAGACGTAGCATCTATGTGCGTCTTTTATCCATATACTCGTACCACAAGAAGTACCCGGAGGAATAGAATAGAATAAAATATTTTTTTTATTTAATATAGATTACTAGAAAGATTCGGAAGAAAACCTAGGTACAACTGACAGGAAACCTAGCGGGACTTTTTTTAAACATTAATTTACATTAAAATATGTTGTATAAGTAATATATCATATACACTAGACGTGTGGTGTAGAGGTTGGAAAATTCTTCATCATATTTCGTCTTGTTAAGATGAGGCCATAGAATTAAATAATTTAATTCGATAATAGAGATTCGCCCCACATTCGCACGAATGATATTTGAATCTCGACAACAGCGCTACCTATCGGGTCCAATGGGAAATCGAAACTCAAACGCACAGAACAATTATCAAAACGTAGTGGAGAACTATATACATTAAAATAGATTGAAGTAATATTAATTAAAAATTATATATGCTTTTATTTATTTATACTTTCATGCACAAAGTAGTACATATGGCGGACTTAATGCCATAGGCCATTCTCTCCCAGTTAACCATTAGGCTAAACAGAGATAGACATTTTGGAGGCGGTGCAGCAATAATCAAATAGAAAGGATAAAAAAACAATGATATAATATATATATATATATATATATATATATATATATATATATATATACAATATGAAACATATACGAAAAAAAAGAGCTGTGTTAGTTCAAACCTGCAACGTTTTAATCACATACTTACGGACTTGATTTTTAAAATTATTTAAAGGTTTAAAAATTAAAAGCTCCCAACAAGCTTTTTTAATGTCAAGAGGGATGTCGTTCCAGAGTCTTTACCACTGGTTCGGAAAAAGCCTTTCTGTTAGGAAAAGCCAGGAAGAATCCCAGCGGGACTCATTTTTATTTAATCACTAATTTACAATATAATATGTTGTACATTTAAATATGGTAACATTTGGAAACTGAAACGTGGTAGAGCCACGCTGCAGCTATATTATGGTTGTAGCACGAATGTGTCGTCTCGACCGGGGAAGGACCACGCTCTCACTGCAAACCAGCGTTAAATAGTAGCTTAATATTGTTGTGTTTCGTATGGTGAGTGTAGAGGTCCGGAGACCCTTTTTTACTGTAAACAAGGCATTCTATCTTAGTCCTCAGGCGTGACAACGCTTCTGCGTTTTGATTCTTAATCGAGGATAAATTGAGATGTCTATGGGCCACAGCATCCACTTACCATCAGGTAGACTGTGTGCTCGTTTGTTACCTTATTTTTTATATAAAAAACACCATGGCAGCGATCACCATATTCCCAGGGGTTTATATCAAACATACCTCTTTATTAGTGTAATAACCTTCATTAAATAATTGAATAAAATTACTTTTACTGGTTTTATCGCCTTTAATTCTACTTACTTATTCCCGACGTAAGGGTGCTTTCTATCAATTATGGTGACGGGAAGGACTGAGGTGATGACGTCTAAGTTAACTCGGAGTTCCTTTAATTTTTAATTATACTTTTGGTTCGATTTACGTAAAATAAACTTACTGTGTCTTGAAGTCTTGTAGTGGTATCACAGAGTAAAAGAGACTCATGTGGCGGTATGCTTGGGCTTAATTTTACTCACGTATAATTCTTGGTAGGAATCGATATTCTATCGCAAGGATTTGTGGTCCATCAAATCTAATGTAATTGCGGATGCCGTCTAGGATAGGATCACAAATTGCAGACTTCCTGGAGTTTCCCCAGCGGTAAGGGCATAAAGGTTTTCTCATTGTTGACCCCAGTGTCATATGTACATACATACGTCCGTAAGGACGTCCAATTGAAATTAGTCAGAATAGCTTTCTGGGATCTTAAAACGTCGAAATCTGATGAAATCGAATAGTTGATGATTTTCGAAAATCGGAGTGAAACCAGTAATTTCTCTATTTTTGGAAAATTTCTATTTTCTTAGCAGGAAGTTAAAAATTGCGAAGGAAAAAAATATTTCGAAGACATGCGAAGTTCGCCAACACGTGTTGGGACAGCGCGGCGGACACTTCCTTGCCCTAAAACCCTCTCAGAAATGAGAGGAAACCTGTGCTCAGCAGTGAGCCGTATATAGGCTGTAACTTTAACATATTTAAACGACATTTTTAACTAGAATTACCTAAAACTTGTGATATTCACTTAAAAGGAAAAAATAATAACGCATAATATCTATCAAGGAATGACATCTCGCCGTTGTCGTAAAGTTCCATTCAACTACTACTTCAGAAAATAATTAACTGGAAATTATTACATTTATTAACCGACTTTAAAAAAGACTTAATTCGACTGTATATTTTTTATGTGTCTTACCTCAGAGCTTTTTTCTGGGTGTACCGATTTTGTTGATCCTTATTTTATTTAAAAGCTGGCGATTCTCGTGTTGACAATTGATCAAGATCTGAGCAGTAGTTTTTGAGTTATCCTTAATAATGCGTATTTATTTGACTTCGAATACATTGATGATGTTCTCATTTTATTTATATAGAAGTCGGTTCTACAACATTTTTAGTTTTAGCACTTTTTTGTTTTGTTTTTGAAGACGGTTTTTTATAACAAAAGTCACATATTTACTCACGCAATTTTTATAGAATAAGGGTGAAACGAGCACACAGTCCAACTGATGGTAAGTGGATGCTGTGGCCAATAGGCCTATAGACTTCTACATTTTTCCTCGATTAAGAATCAAAATGCAGATGCGTTGTCACCCCTGAGGACTAAGATGGAATGCCTCGTTTCCTGTAAAAAGGGTCTCCTGATTTCTACACTCACCATACGAAACACAGCAGTTTTAAGCTGCAATTTTACCCTGGTTTTCTGTGAGAGCGTGATCGTTTCCCAGTCGAACCGACCTATTCGTTTATTATTTATTTTGATCTTAATCTGCGTTTTGGAAAATAAAATGTAACCTCAGTTCGTAGTGCATTAATATTTTGTTCCTGATAGAGACGGAATAGGATATAGTGGCCCTCGTATGTCAAGCGGCCACATCTTCGTAAAAATAAAGTTTGTGCACACAACAAGATGATAAATTTAATTTTTATAAATTAGAATATATTTTGTACCCATTTATAATTTTATTATTAAATCGGTATTAATTGGGCCGTAAAGGTCCACCGCTGGACTTGAACCTCTCCCGTTGTAGTCAGGACTTGCATTAATGATATCGCTTTGCAGACGGGTTGATTATCGCAGTATCAAACGTTATAAGGTATTATTACCAGCGTAAAATAGCAGCTTATTATCTCCATGTTTGACGTTTCTGCGCTTTGCCATTGGTATTCTACGTCAAGCGTAAACGAGATGGTTATACCGCCACGTATCGGAACGGAAGCCATAAGAGTTTTCAGTCATTTCTCATAATCGCCTCTAATAACACTTACGGGACAAAATGGGATGACGGATTCATTGGAACTGGACGGAGAAAGAAGCGGACATAATGGTTTATTTTCTAAATGTCAATTTCGCTTGCATAATTTGCTGCTTAGTAACAAAAGAAATAGGTTAGCGACCAACTCATAGCGGTGTCTGCATTTAAATAGAAATTCTAAAAAAAATATAAATTTGTTAACAACTAAAATACTACTAAAACGTACGCAACTTATTCGTATATTATAGCTTATCGTGCACTGTAGCGCCTACTTAACATTAATAACAATGACGTCCGGTCGTTTTCACGCGATATACTCCGTTGGACGCTCATTTTTGGCGCCGTATATAAACGGGCCTTTGTTTTTTAACTTCATAGTCATACAAAGTCTCCTTTACAGTGCAACGTGAAATGAAAATACATTGAAGTAACAGATGTGGAAAATGTCTTGGACTGTCTTTTGTGTGTATTTTGTGTGTTTGTGCAGTTTGGTCAGGACTCAGGTGATACCGAGCAAGTCTAGAACTAACGATGGAGATTATAATAACGTGAATACAGACGGATCTTTTGATTTCGGGCGAGTGTTGTTTATACAATTTATATAATAAGGGCCATTATTACTTAATACATACAATTTTATATTTATATAATTAATTTGAAATATTATTAACATATAGTTTTACATAATATAAAAATATTCAATATATTTATAATAATGAAAACAAAAACTAAAAATAAAATTATATTAATATAGTTTTTAATTGCAGTGTCTGAATTAATTTTTTAATTTTAAAAGCTCTAAAAGCTTCGAGGCTTTTTGTATAAAGAGATTTAACTCAAAACTTTTCATCTTAACGAGGTAGAAGCCACGTATATTATGGTTGTAACAGGTATAGGTCTGCTCCACTGGGGAAGGACACGCTGTGAAAGAATACCTCCGTGTTTCGTACGGTAAGCGCTCACCATATGAAACAGCAGCATTACGCTGCTATTTTACGCTGATATTCTGTGAGAGCGTGATTCTTCCCCGGTCGAGCCGACCCATTCGTGCTACAACTACAATAAAGCTGCAGCGTGGCTCTACCACGTAAATATCTTAACAAATACTTATTTCCGCCGTATGAGATTTTATTAACTTAGATTGGATATTACAAAATGATTCTGATTTTTGTTACATATATATTTAATGAACGTTTTATTTATCAGCCTTTATAGTTCAGAGAGGGTTTTGTCATAAGCGGCATGCTTGGCAGGCAGCTTAGGGATCGCATTTACAAACGTCTCCAAGCTTTTTACATCACGTCGCCGGTCCAGGTATTTGGTACACTCCGGGTGATCATATTGCTCTCTACTGAAGGCTATTTATTTATATGATTTTGATTTCATATATTTACGCGAGCACTACATATTTAAATAAAACTAGTTTTTACGGAATTTATCGCGTATATTAACTTATTTTATATTCCCGACGTTTCGAGCACTTTACAGCACCCATGGTCAGGAGAGGACTGGGATGGTCCCAATGTTATAGTTAACCACGGTTGTTTTAATCTGGAGATAGAACATTTAGAAAATTCAAAAGTGATAAAATTAATTTTGTACAACCAACTTCAATATAAATAAAATAAGAAAATCATCAACGCATTAAGGATGACTCAAAAACCAATGCTCAGATCTTCATCAAATTTATATGAGATTATTTTATATGGGACCGTAGGAAGCACCATCTTTAAAAAAAAACATGAAAATCGGTTCACCTAGAAAAACGTTCTGATTTAACACACATAAAAAATACAATCGAATCAAACCTTTCTTTTTTTGAAGTCAGTTGATGTTAATCACCATTAATGACGATGATGATCTTGGTAATGGTGATAAAGAAAAACGTTATCAATGTTAATTATGCTCCCCTTAACCTCTCCATATAAGCTTAAAGAGGAATGGAACCCACAACTTTCTGAGTTTGCAGTCAGTTAATTATTAGGCTATTGTCGAAGTTGTATTTAACAAATATAATATTATTTTCAAGGATATATATAGTGTAATGGAATATTTAGTGATAAATTATATAAAATTATTTATCTTCATACAGGTACAAAAATAATGACCGAGGGGGAAGCTACCACCTTGCAAGGGGTAACCAGAACGGGGTGGTGGGCGGTCGTTTCGGTTCAAGGGACCCTGCCACTGACACTGTAAAGGAGACCGTTTACACTGCTGGACCTAGAGGGTGAGTTAAATTTCCAATCCGTGCACCTTACTTATAATTGTTTAAATGAGAAAATTATTTATATGAATTTAAATAATAACGTAATTCTATTTTCCTCAAATACACTTAGTCTAAATGAATTACGTCTGCTATTTGTAAATCCGTTTGATGATTAATATGGTTAAATGGTTAATAAGGCGTAAAAAATAGATAAATAATTTAAAATTAAGTGCTATTTATTTGCCGTGGCAGTTAAGAAGCTGAGCGTTCGCCTCAAGTTTTCTTAGGATAAGGGTGATAAGTGAGTATATAGTCCACCTGATGGTAAGTGGATGCTGTTGCCCATAAATATTTACATTTAGTCTCGATAAAGGATTAAAATGAAGGTGCATTGTCACCTTTGAGGACTAAGAATGTTTGGCCGTGGAAGGAAAAGGGGAGATCTCCCGCCAGGCAAGGTGTTATGCCCGGGGAGCGGCCAACGCTCCGTGTGATAGTTCGGAGATGTCCTATATATACTGTTGATAATTCGGAATGCTGATAGCGTGATTTAAGCTTCGGTGTGTTTTGCTTGCGGCGCGACGACAGCGCCGCCACATCACCCCCCTGCTCAGATCGGAGATCCATAGTGCAGTCCGATTGCCGGTGTGTCCTTTTAATTCCGGTGGAGAATGCATGCTGTGTGCCTAAGGGCAAGTGACAACGGTGCGAATAATATGCCGATGTGTAATGCATGCCGTACTATGCACTGGCAAGTGATGCCGGTGAGAAAGATGTACCGGAGCAAGTGCCAGAAGTCTGCCTTATAAATCTGCGGTGCGTCGAAACGAAGACAATTTGGACTGGCTTGCAGGAACTGAAGACTGCAGACGATATCTGCTCGGGAGAGAATGGGTGGGGTATTCTATGACGATGATGAAGCTTGAAGTTTTCGAAGGTTGTTGGTTGCGTATTCAGATCACGTCGGGGTCACCACTGTGGCCGTGGAAGGAAAAGGGGAGATCTCCCGCCGGGCAAGGTGTTATGCCCGTGGAACGGCCAACGCTCCGTGTGATAGTTCGGAGATGTCCTATATATACATATACTGTTTATGATTCGGAATTCTGATAGCGTGATTTAAGCTTCGGTGTGTTTTGCTTGCGGCGCGACGACAGCGCCGCCACAAATGCCTCGTTTCTAGTAAAAAGGGTCTCCAGTTTTCTATACTCAATATACGGAACCCAGCATCATTAATCTGCAATTTTAGGCTGGTATTCTGTAAGAGCGTGGTCCTACACGCGGTGGAGCTGCCCTATTTGTGCTACAACCATAATAAAGCTGCAGCGTAGTTCTACCACATATAGGAATTTCATAGAATGTGACCAACATGGGTTCAATCGCCGCCGGCACTAATCAAAATGTAAATTAAATTTAAAGTGCTGATTTACGAAGCGCTCGACATTGCGTAGGACACATTTACACATTTTACGTACAGATATTTTACATCCAGATCGGAAATAACTATTTGTAAGCCATACAAACTCTTTTCCATGCGGAATTCAAACTTGCGACCTTGCAGCTGCTCAAACTACAGTTTTGCTACTGAAGCTACATAGAGGAATTATTAGTGGTTCCTGTATCACAGTGGACCATTTGAAAAGAAAGAAGTAGTACAAAAGCAGCTCGTAGTGTAGCGTCTGTATATCTACATAATAGAAATTTTATTATGAAAACAAGTCGGGCTTGCAACTTTGTCCGCTTCAAGTTAAGAGTTTTAAATAAATTCCGAAACTTTAAAAAAAAAATATATATATATATATATATATATATATATATATATATATATATATATATATATATATATATATATGTTATTCACCAAAATTATTAAAATGTTTATATAAGTATGCATATACACATTTTTTTAGTATTTATCGGATAGTTTGCCAAGTGGTTGTGACGTAAGTGAGTCACCCTGTTTTGTCTCGTGATACGGTATACGAATAGCATAACTATATTGAAACACGGTGCGGCAAAAACCCAACAAGGCTTATTTGTACACCTTGCTTCAACAACAAACAACTCGGTGCCGAAACTACGTACAGACAGTGTGTAATGTCTATTACACATAAAGGTAGCTACAATGATAGAATATGCCTTAATATCGTAGCGAAAATAAACACGTTTCCTTGCGCGCACTTACGGGTAGCAAAAATATTTTACTCATTTACACCTGACGCAATCGAACGCAAACGAATATTTACGCGCGCGTAAATATTCTTTTTTCTATTAACTAACTAATTTTAACTAACTACTTTCAGAGTAAAGTAAGAAAGTAAAGATACAGCATATTTGAATCGTGTTACTGTTGCGTAGTTACTCGGCCGGGGAAGAACCACGCCCGCACAAATGGCGGCGTAGGATAGCAGAACAGACTGTGTAGTGGCGGTGTAAGAATATCCACTACGCCATACCATCCCGTGGCTGCTGTTAAGAGGCGAAAGAGAGAATCTGAACCAAGAGATGGGTAGCAGCATTTTCTTGATAACAGCTGAGTAAAAAAAAACTGCGCTTGCCAAGTTTGTCAAGTGTCGAAACTATGGGAAATATTCCGTCTATGAGGCTATCTATGGGGGAGGCCTATGTTCAGCAGTGGGCTTTAGATAGACTGTAATGATAATGGGTGACGGGAAGCGGTTACAGAGGTGCGAAACATTTGGTACTTCGTTAGCCAATCCTTTTGCCAAGCGTGACGATCAAAGCAAATGCTTCCAACAACGACAGAGGTATACGTGGTAGAGCCACGCTGCAGCTATATTATGGTATTTGGTATGGTCTATGGGCCACAGCATCCACTTACCATCAGGTGGACTGTATGCTCGTCTGTCAACCCTTAAGCTACAAAAAAAACAGAGGAACATATCCAGATGTGGACTTTAGTTTTGGAAAAAAAGATCCGATGCCATATCCAAAATGATACACAGTGACTTACAGTATCAATTTGCACTACTGTACTAAATAAAAGTTCGGTAAACTTTCCAAGACAAAATGAGGTGTACAACTCAGGACCTAAGCGCTCGGTGTAAATCTCAAGCACGCGAGCAACCCGGGTTGAAAATCAATGAACGGTGAATGAATTTAAAGCCATGTTCGGTCGGCGGTGAAGGAAGACATAATGAGGAAAGATACACGTCTGAGAAATTACATATATATTTAGAAGACCCTTACAACCCTCCTGCCTTACTCTTGTACCGTACAACTAAACATTTAGCTATAATGGTATTGAGCCATTTGTCGGATTAGAACATAGCACATAGCTAATTATTTTATTTCTTCCCACTTTTATTCATTTCTTGACTGCGGTAAAATTGTTTTTGTTTTTTTTTTCTATTTGGTATGTATTAAATGGGGAGGGCTTAGGGCTTAGCAGCTGTAACACAGGTCTGTGAAGTAGCACGGTTGCCAAAGATACCTTAATATTGAGTACCTTAAGGGGATAGAGTAAGTCAGCTCAAATTCTAATTTCGTCCCCACTTCCCGCGCGTCGTATGCTATGTACCGACATGTTTGTAATCATTAATACTGTAAGTAGATAGGTCGTTAGACACTTATTTCATTAGGTTTCTCATATTTATGCCTGTTTCTTAACGCCAAGCCAGTCGTTTCTTATTTTTATTACGGTTATTTCCCATTTTAATTTTACGTCGTCCTGTTGCGTAAAGTATATTCTGATCGTAAGCGACACAACCTCCCCGTTCAAAGGTCGAAGCGAAGTGACCGTGCGGCAGGAATCACGCTTCAAGAGGCGATAGTTTAGGTAATTTCTTTTTTACAGTGAAAATAATGGTATTTAAAAAAAAGTAAATAACATAAGCACTGCTTTATAGTTAGTTCAGTTAGTATGCAAAGTTTCATGATCTTATTTAAAGTATTTTATGAATACACAGCGGTTTATTGTTTATTTTGGAGGTAATTTTGGATTTTTTTTCTATCAAGAAAATTTACGAAATCGTGTTTTCGTCAAACATAATCCTTAACATTAATCCTCAACTTTACCATATATTTATTTCAAAATTAATGCTGCAATATTTTCGGCATAACGAAGGATCTTGCTAAGCCACTTGAGATTATATTTCCCCCCTAAAATTGAGTTAGATTACGTCTTGTCAATGTAATTTTGTTTTTATATAAAGTATGTTTGAATTCAATAAATATTATTATTACAACTCGAACGAGTTTTTCTGTCTGAAGAGTAATAGGTAGTATAATGACTGAATGGCTGCGAGGTATTCGTGGTTACAAGCGTTTATGGGCTGCAGGCCTCCCAATAGATGGATTCATAGAGAAAACTATGCCATAGTTTTGTCAACCGCAGTTCGTTATTTTATTCAGCTGCTATCAGGAAGATGCTACTGCCTATCTCCGGTTTTAGTTTCCTCTGCCACCCCTAAGACAGTCACGGGGCGATATGGGGTAGTACATATTTTTACAATTGAAAATAATAACAATTTTACAAAAAGCAAAACAACTATTTAATAAGAATCAAAAACGTCAATCATCAAGAATTTCTACAACTACAAATATTTTCCAGGTTTCGCGCAAAGGGTCCTAACGTGCACAGAAAAATGGACCTAGATCAACGACCTCGAGGACCCATTGGGAATAAAGACGATCCCTATTTCGACCCGAGCGAGGATCCAAGTTATTCTTATAAATTTGATACGAGGACGTACTCTAAAAACGAGAACGCTGATAGTCGGGGCGATGTTAAAGGTTCGTTAAAGGGTTTTCCCATTAAGCAAACTGTAAGAAGGGTTGTTATTATTTTGTAGGGAATATATTCAAGGTATTTTAATTTTATTATTCACAGGTAATTCCTTAAGACGCTTAAGCTATACGAGAATATTGTTGCTTGTTTTTAAGGTTGTCAAAATATTTGAATGATTATCTTTCTGATATTATAAAAGTGAATTTTAATTTAAAAGTTGACAGAAAAATGGACTATTTCAAAGTATAGGACATTTTTGTCCCAGTGGCGAGCCATGTCAGAGATTTGATCAAGGGATTTGAAAAAGGGGAGACATCTGGGAAGTAGCCAACGTTTCATAGCTTTGGAAACTTCAATAGCGTGATTTATGTTTCATTTATGTTTCGGTTTGTTTACGTTATGGTAGGGCGATGATAGCGCCGCCACAGTGTAGCAAAATATTAAAAAAGTAAATATGTGTGTTTTAGAAATTTCATAACTTTAAAGTGTTCATTTTTGCCGGTTTTTGAAATAGAAAATAGAGAGGTCTCAATTCGATTAGAATATAATTATTTTAATACAATATAGATTACAATACTTATTGAAAGTCGTTTATGCATTTACCACTAGTTCCGAAAAAAACACTTATGTCTTAGAAAGAACTAGCATACACATAAGTTATCTTTCTCTATATTTTTACCGATTGTTAATGAATGTAATAATTCCTTTTATTGAATAGGCTTCACTTCAAAGGTATTCCCTTAAAACTTGAAGAAAAAATATTCCAATCCTAATGGTTGAAAAAGAGGCAGAAATTTTTAGTATACTCGTAACTATTCTGTTCTTAAAAATAATAATTTTATTTTTATTTTTTAGGATCGATTTTATATTTTTTAACCTTCATTACAGTAAAATGAATAGGTACGTTTAATACTGGGATATGCGTAGAGTAATAGTTACCTTCATAGTTATTATTATTATATATATACACACATATATACATATATATATATATATATATATATATATATATATATATATATACAGCTTGGCCTGTGGGTAATATGTATATATCTGAATAATCAAAAATGTTGCAGGCTTAATAACCGATTACAATAATACAATAATTTTACAATTACGATATAGTATTCTTACTATGATAATCAGAACTCTTCATCAACGTGTCTTGCTTAAGGTTTTTTAAACTCGAATATTAAATATTATTATACTAGCAACCCGTCCCGGCTTCGCTTGGCCAATCAGTTAATGTAATAAAAAGTAGTCATACATCAAGGACCATATTTGTTTTATTCCTTCTGATATTGCTCTCTTTCTTCCTTAAATTAATCGGAATAAAAATAAAAAGAGATAGACAAACAAAAAGTCTTAACATATTTATGTACGAGTGTGTCTTAATAACATGCATATAACGACATGCACTTAACCAAATCCTGTTACCTTAATACTACAGGAATAAACTTCAATTTGGCCTAGATCCCTTCTGGTATTGCTCTCTTTCTTCCTTAAATTAATCGGAATAAAAATAAAAAGAGATAGACAAACAAAAAGTCTAAACATGTTTATGTACGAGTATATCTTAATAACATGCAAATAACGCATGCATGCATTAAAAATTCGCTTCACTTTTATGACCTAAGTAAACTTTATTTTTAATATAAAGAGACAAAATAGCTAATAGCTCCACCTGATGGAAAGTGGCTATCACAGCCCACGCGCACCTGCTGTATGTTTGAATAAAAGAGCCCATATTATGTACGACTAAGATGGAATGTTTCACTGCCTGTAAACTGACTCTACGTACTCTTCAAACAGGAATTCAACAAAATACCTAGGCAAGGGGGAAGCTCTAACTTTAGTTTGCTTTGTCGTTTGAAACGCGGACAGCCAAGGAGTGGAATAATTTAACAGCATATATATTTTTACTCGAGTACAATGTGGGTCTTCAAGCCAAGATTGAATAAGTTTCCTCAAGATAAGACATTGCACATACCATTTACCATCTCGGTTGCATCACCACTTGGTATCAAGTGGGATAGCACTGTGTTATAAAGTTTTTAGAAAATAAACTCAGACTGTAGGCAGGAAGGTAGCATTTTCAAGTATAAAATATCAATAACAACGAGTATGCATTCAACGTGGTCAGACTGGAATCAATCTTTGAAAATTGGCATTAAGTGGGGTATTCTTAATGATCGACTATCGAAAGTTAAAGAAAGGAGAACGATTTACAAGTTAGCAGTGTTAACAAACATGTGTGTGAAAATTAATGAAAAATAAAAAACAATATTAATTGCCTTTTTTGTTAAGGTCACTACTCCTTTGTGGATGACGTGGGCGAGCGGCATGATGTTTCATACGTTGCGGGCCGAGACACTGGATTCCATGTGTCTTCTTCGCACCCCGATAGTCCGAGTGTGATTGGATCACCGTTCCACAGAGCACCACTTGTCCGAGGAGAGAGTCGACCCCGAGGTCGTACTGCCGTTCAAAGAGGCTTAGATGGATCTTACAGGTGATAAATTGGTTTGGAATGCATTTGAGATTTGGAATATTAAACTTCAATTAGAGATAACATTTGCGTAATTACGTGTCTTATTTGAGGGATTTGTTTATATTAAAATTTGTGTTACCGTTACAGATGATCAAAAGTTCACCACCGACTACAGACTTTCCCCATAGATTGCCTCAAAGGAGAGATGCTTGCCATAGTTGCCACTGGCCATTTTATGTAAAGAAGACGCTGCTGCGTATCTCCTTGTTTCTTTCCCCGTGTCACCTCTTACGGCACCTACGGGACGATATGAGATCTCTCTCTCTCTCTTCCTGGCTATGTGTCCCACATGGTGGTGGGGTCAGCCTTTCTTGTCTTACGCCTCCACTTCGCTCTATCCTCGACTTCATTTTCGGAGACTTCGCACTCTCTCATGTCCTTTACCACTACATCTTTCCATCGTGTTTTGGGTCTGCCCCTGGATCTTCGACCTGGGATGGAAAGTTGTAGTGCCAAGTTCCCTACGTAGTCGGATGGCCTCCTCTTCACGTGCCCATACCATCGCAGCCTACTTTCCTGCATCTTGTCAGCGATGTCGCGCACGCCCAAGCTTCCTCGCACGTACTCGTTGCGGATTTTGTCGAGCTTGGTAACGCCGCACATCCACCTCAGCATCTTCATCTCGGCAACTTGCATGGTATGCACATTCTTTTGAGTTACGGCCCATGTTTCACTGCCATACAATAGGACTGATCTGATGATGGTCTTATAGATTAAACCTTTAAGTTTGACCGGCATTCTCCTATCGCACGTGACACCAGTCACTTCTCGCCACTTTAGTCACGCTGCGGCTATTCGGTGCTGAATGTAAATTTCCAAGTCCCCAGAACCGCTCATCATACTACCCAGATACTTGTATTGATCACACGATTTGACCAATTGTCCATCGATGGAAATCGGACTGTTGTTTGTATCTGGGTCGTTGAAGGACATGAACTGAGTCTTTGCCACACTCAGCACAAGGCCACCGGTCTGTAACTGATGTTTCCACGACACGAGTGCCTCTTGCAAGTGAGCGCGGCTGTCTGTGCAGATGGCTACGGGACGATATGAGATGTATATCTATGAACCGTTACGTCACGTTTAATAAGAAATATATTAAAATTATGATAGGTATTTATAATAAATTAGCCTTGGACGTCCAATGCTGGACATGCGACTGTTTCATTGTAGGGAAGATTTGTCTTAATCGTAACTCGATTTGACGATCGCAATACAAAACGCTTGTGTGCAATATTAGATTGCAGTATTAGATACCACTTATTTGTAACATTAGGTGGTGCTTTTACTTGACGACACGAAAAAAACATTTTAGCGATGTAATTTCCGCAATGTAAACTATCCAATATGGGGCACTTTTTATGTTTTCAGATTTATATCAGCAGGGCCAGATCAAAGGAGGTCAGAAAGCAGTGATTCTCAAGGCAATGTCAGAGGGTCTTATTCATTTTTAGACGACAAGGGCGTTCAAAGGTAAGCAGTCTAAATATGTTAACACAGGTTTTTTTATAGGATAGGGTGACAAACGAGCACGCAGCCCATCTGATGGTAAGTGGTTGCTGTGGCCCATAGACATCTACATCTATCCTCGATTACGAATTAAAATGCACATGCGTTGTCACCCGTGAGGACTAAAATGGAATGCCTCGTTTCCAGTAAAAAGGGTCTCCGGTTCTCTACACATACGAAACACATCAGCATTAAGATACTATTTAACGCTGGTATTCCGTGAGAGCGTGGTCCTTTCCCGGTCACGCTAAGCCATTCGTACTACAACTACACTACTAATATAACTGCAGCATGGTTTTACCATGTATCTAGTAATTATCCATTCTATTTTATTACAACCTGTAAAAGTTCACTGATGTACCTGGGCCTTTTTGTATATCGTCGTCATTTATTGTATATTTTTTCATTCATTAGCCTATCAAAAACTTACTGCTGAATATAGGCCTCTTCATATATTGCCATAGTTACCATGTTTGGCAGGCGGGTCGGCAACTGCAGTTCCTATATTATTTTTCCTTTGGTTATCACGAAGTTTCATACATGTTTCAGTGGCTAGATATGGTGAATACTAAACCACCGTGTGTCATTTTATAAAGTACTTTTAAAAAAATACGTAATTTGTAAAGGTACGTACTTTGTAGTTCTCATCATCGTTATTATTATTATAGCCACTTTCATTATCACACGTCCACTGCTAAACGAGCTACCTGCATCCATAGATTTTTTGCATGTTTTAGTACGTTGTCACACCATTTATTATATTTTGCTTACTGGTACAATGCTGAGTTCTTATAACGAGCTATAATGTCAACAAATTGCCACTTTAGCTTAGTTCTTACAGGAGAATATGTATATAACTACTTGAAAATATAACTCAAATTTCCATACTTGAATAAATAGCTTAAGCACGAACATACCGGCATGTGGGGATAAAATTACGCTCTCAAAGAATAGCAGCAAAAATTAGCAGCATAATGTTGTGTTAAATATACTGAGTGACGAGAACAGAAGATCCTTGTTACTGGTAACTAGGTATTCTTTCTTAGTTGTCAGGACTGATTTTGATTCTTAATCGAGGATGGAATTAGTTGTCTATGTATAACAGTATCCGCTTTTCATAATATGGTACTGTGCGCTTGTTTGTCACAATTTTTCTATGAAAATCTAAGAATATTTATTTTTTGTTTAGGACGGTGCACTACATAGCTGGTCCCGGAATCGGATACCGCATTGTCAAAAATAATAATGATCCTTTCATTCCTTCTTTCTTCCCAACCATTCCCAGCGCCTATGATCCTGATTTTGTAAACGGCGCCATTGGACCGAGCGTTGCCAGCTACACTCCACATGATGCTAATGACGATGTATTTAAAGGTAAGTGCCATTGCCTATAAGTTTAAGAAATTCATTTATGCGTAACAGTTTTTCAAACTCCACTGCCAAGCCTAGGCTTCGCATGTATTACATCATAAAGAGAAATAAAAAAATAAGAGAGAATATTTTTTCATTCATTAGCTTTCATCAAAAATTTACTGCTGATACATAGACCTTGCCATATATTGCCACAGTTGCTTCCCTTTGCAGGCGGGTTGGCAACCGCAGTTTATTAGGAAGACTGCCCATCATTTGATTTGACGATTTATTGTTTTAGGCTCTGTTGCTTCTTACGACACGTGTCATATGGGACAGTAAATATCTTTATACCACCACTACACTACACGTTTGTATGGGTGGTAAATTTAACGCTACAAGTGACTAAAAATATTTTTTTAAATAATAATTACATGCCAAATACACGATAAGTTAATAATTTGGTATAACAAAATACAAATGAATTAATTTTGATTACAGGTCCGGATGGTTCAGCAGCATCAGGGCATGTAAAACCACCTCCTTTTACCACCACCGATAAAGACAGGCCCAGCAACGCGCTTGATATCGCCTCTGTTCCCAGTAGTAACTCTGACGATCAACAAGGTGATAATTTCAACAAGGAATCAGCAAATGAAGACTCGAGTGTCATTGATGAGGACGCGTCAAGTTACGGAGGGTCCCAGCCTACTAAAGGACCAGGTGATGATGCATAGCACTGCAGATGTCATCTGATTGATGTTGGTGATCTTGTTAGTTTTATATGAGGCTCAATTATCACTATTAAGGTATTTATTGATTTTCTTGAAATTCTTAAATCATCTTGTGGAAAAATCTAGTAATAACGAAAAATGTGAATGGGCAATGTAATTTATATCCATGGAAAGAATACCTAAATTACAAAGTTACTAATAATTGATAAATTAAATATGGTATTAATTTTTATGACAAAATATTTAAACAAGATCACGAGTTTCAATCCAAATTGCACAAACGGTTGGAGAACGCACTTATGGAAACATTTTTCTTCTTGAATGTCTGCTTGACTGCAATAAATCATATTCACAAACAAATTGGTTTTTATTACACCAACACCTTACAGCACTAGCACATCGTGAAAGCACAGCACAAAGAATTGAGTAATTATTAAAACTTGCAGGCAAACCATGGCGTCCTACAAGCAAGCCTTTTAGGCCGGCGAAGAAACCTTATGTGCCTCTTAAACCTTCACAGGACACAAACAATAAAGACGATCATGCAGTAGAATTTGACGCTGAGAAAGACAACAATAACACACCTGAATTTGGTGTAGGTTACAACATACATCATACAAAACCAGGCACTACAATAATTAAGAACATAGGTGAGAATTACTTTGCCATACCGCCAGGTGTATCTGTCAGAGCTCATGTACAAAGTATTGATTTGTATCCCTTTGGCTCTAAGCCTATCTCACCATCAGAAGCCCTAGAAAATGACAAAAGATAACTTTGCTTGTGCTGTAAGGTTTTTTCTTTCCGACATGTAAATAAAAGAGCACGATTTTTTTTGTTAATAAACATAAAATAATTTTTTGTTGTTTTTTTCTTTTAAATACATACATATGTTATAGTATTGTGGATACTTTTGTATTAAACAGGGTTACAAGCGTTACACGAAACATCGAAGAGAATTCTTCTTCTCCTTCACCAGCTCGTAAAAGTCCACCGCTGGACTTGCCCTTCAATTTGTCTTGGCAAGCGAAATCTTAGATACAGACGTCTGGCTCTTTGATACTGCTCTCCGGTCTAGGTATTGTACAGCTTTACATCACGTAAGTAAGATGGTTGTTACCGCCATATTTAAGTAGCCGTAAGATCTTTCTGACATATCCAATAGTAGCCTCGTGTGACACCCACGGGAAGAAAAGGAGTGATGGCTTTTCTGATTTCTTCTTTACATTTGAATTAGTAGTGCCCTTTCACGAATTGAATAAGTGTTTATATGCGTCTTTTTGTGTGTATACATCATCATTATCATCATTACAACCCTTCACAAGTCTACTGCTTAAAATAGGCTCTTCCCAAAGTATGCCACAAAGCACGGTCCAGAGTCACATTCATACATCGACTTCCTGCATGTTTTACCTATGTATTGTCTTATCTAGTGGAGAGTCGCCCTACACTTCGCCTACCGGTACGAGGCTGCCACTTGAGAACCTTTTTTCCCATCGTATATGAGACATATTATATGTAACATTAACAAGATAACATTAAAAATATACTTTGGATACAAATTTTTTTGAAGTAAAAAAAGTTGTGATTTGAAATTCGATGAAACGAAAAAACGACACTAAAAAGAGAAACATATACGTCTATAGGATTTCGCCTGCGAGGGAATGAAATAGAATACAGTGTTCCCTATTATCCATGTGACTTAGGAGCAGTAAGGATTAGGGACAAAATTTGTTATTTAGATAATATTTAATTTGTAATAAATTTTCTTACGATTATAAAATTGAAAATTAAGAGTCCTGTATAATATGTAATGTAAAATATATGTAGAACAAAATGTAAAATAATTTTTCAACTTGGTAACGATATTGTAATAAAACCTTAAAATTATCCCACTGCTTATTAGCAGTTATTGTAAGGTTCATTCCGTGTATTCGTCTTATTCTCTCAAAGTTTAGTTTTCTGAAGGTTTTACTTCTACCGCATGTGAAACTGAACACATGTTTTTTGTTATTTTTGTTAGAGTTACGAAAAAGGGTTATTTGAGCTTTTAAATTCCATATGCACTTGACACACTTTTTTACGTGGTAGAGCCACGCTGCAGCTATATTATAGTGGTATTACGAATGGATCGGCTCGACCGGGGGAGGAGCACGCTCTCTTAGAATACCAGTGTAATGCTGCTGTGTTTCGTATGGTGAGTGTAGAGAACCGGACACCCGTATTACTGGAATCGATGCCTTCCATCTTAGTCCTCAGGGATGACAACGCATTTGCATTTTGATTATTTCATTGAGGATAAATGTGGATGACTATGGGCCACAGCATCCACTTACCATCAGGTGAACTGTGTGCTCGTTTGTCAATAGCATTGATTGATAAAAAACACACTTGTTGCGAAATTATTTGTTTTAACTTTATTAGTTATAACCTAAACCTTTCGCCATATAACCTATACTGCTGGAAGCAGGCCCCTTATCATTTTCTGAGAGTGTTTAGAGCAAGAAAATGTCCACTGCGTTATCCCAATGTGGGTGGGCGCAGTTTACATGTGTTGGTTTTTTTTAAATTTCTCTGTTGTTCATGGGCGGATGAGCAGCGGTAGTCACATAACATCAGAAGAATTTTACGAACCACATGCTGGTTTGCCCCCTCTTATTTAAAAATGCAGATTTGCACACGTTATTTTACTTCACCGTCGGCTGACCGACTCTGCGCGCATTAACGGAGATCGTCGTCCGATCTGCGAAGGACGTGCTGGGGATTGCGCACCCGCGACGGGAAGGTAGCAATGAATGGTGGATGCCTGAACTTGATAGGATGAGGAAGGAAGTATGTTATACAAAAAGGACGTGGTAGAAGACTGAAAGAAAGGGAGGTAGGTCTGAGGAACCAGCTATGGAACGGTTCCATAGTGTGAGAGCGAGATACCGACAGATAATGGGGAGTACGGAGTTGGCCCACTTTTTGGAAAATAGGCAAAACAGGCAATGTTGTACGATTGGGGCGTCCCTACTAAGAGGCGAGTAGGAGGTGCCGTCCTTCCAGCAATGTTGTCAACGCGGTAAAGTTTGCGGAAGGGTACACGGGAGAAGTGAGAGAGGCCGTGCGGGGCTTGCTTGCTTGATATGTCCACACGACGATGTTTCTAAGGAGTAAGGATACAGAATACCACGGGTAGATGCGCCTTATGGCCGCTTTTACTCCATCTGAGCTGACTACCTTTCCCTCTACCATTGGGTGTCTGGAGGGCATAGATAGGACTTTGCCCATGGTAATGACAGGCCATTAATGGATTCCAAGGCGTACCACCCGATAACGCTCCTCTTTATCTTTGAGAATCGTTGGGTATATCGAATTACTAGCACGGGTTTTCAACGGGTCAGTCCATAGTAACGGCGCTGCAAGATGTGCTTAGTATTGTGCGTGAGTCGCAGCGCAAGTATGTAGAAACCTTCTTCTTAGACATCTCGGGAGCATTCGATAATGCATGGTGGCTGAATATACTGCTGAAGGCTAAACGAGGGGGGGATTCTACCTAACGTTTACCGCATATTGGTGGATTATTTCGCCAACTGACGAATAGAAATATTCGTACGTGATTGTGCTTAAGGGAAACGCTCAACCAAGGGCTGCCCACAGGGATTGGTCTTTGCACACAACCTAGTGGAATTTACTGCTGGACGATTTGTTGAGGCTGCCATTCTGTCACTTCTGATAGATGCGAATTCTAGAGCTGAAATAGAGAGAGCGGCCCAATCTGCACTGGCGTTGGTGTCGTCGTGGAGAGAGAGGAACCGACTGTCTTTCTTCTTCGCGAAGTCATGTACCATGACTATTAAAGGTAAGTTCCAGCCATCACCTGTTATCAGGATAGGGATGGAGTCAATAAAAAGCATAATGTCGACTAAGGTATTAGGTGTCACATTAGAAACGAGTCTGTTATTCATTCAGCACGCCTAGGATATGGGAGAGAGTGCTGAGAAATGCTTTTGGGAAGATGTCGCGGGTTTCAGCTTCGTCTTGAGGCGTGCGCTACCCGGCCCTTCGTGTTTTGTATAAGGAAACATACGTCCCAGTAGTGCACATACGCTGCAGCCGTTTGGGTTGACCGGGTGTGGAATTAAACAATACGCACGGCACTGCTCAGATCGCAAAGATCTTCACTCGAGTTGCTGACAAAGGGCTGCACGACGTTAAGTACTTTGACGCTTCCGGTATTAGCCGGCATTTTTACGGCTCATTTGGAGTTTATTCGTGCTGGTAGGACTGAAAAAGTGCATGGGAACGTAAATAATTGGGAGTTGGGCAGGTGAGTGCGAAATTTGCGCTGAAGTTGTGAATGCATGACAGGAACGGTGGATGAATGAGACGATTGACAGGGAATTATTGCGCTTTTTCCGGACGTGGTGGCGCGACTCAATGCAAATTGGGTCGTGCTGGACTATCAAGTCTCACAGATTCTCAGCATAAATGTTTCAGAAAGAGATTGTCTGATATGAAATTGGCTGAATCGAGTATGTGTGAATGCGGAGCAGCCTACGAGGATAGGCATCATACCCTGTGGGAGTGTATACTCTATGATGACCTGCGATTTAAGATGATGGATGGAATGGTACGCGAAAGGGTTTACCCGGTTTACTACCCGGAACTCGTGTACGGTAAGGAGAAATTTTGCCGGCTGCGTGAGTTTGCGCATGAATGCCACGCACGGAGGACTGCCATGGATGGAGAGAACCTATACACACATAGCCGAAGATTAGCCCAGAACCGAAGGCGTATTGTGATTGTTTAGCCCAGAAAGGGAGAGTGGTAAAACGGGACAAGGAGTAGAGTGAATAACTTGTAGAGAGTCAAGAAGGTACGTGCGGAAAGGGCCCAGTTTCTGTAACCGCTAGATTGGTGGAGTCATGGAAAGGTGAAGCTTTGTCAACGCCGAGCACGGGGTGAATCAGTACTTAAAATTGCAATCAACAATTTTATTATTGCCGGTGGGGATCGGACTGTGGTTGCTCACGTATTTTGAATTGTGAATTACAGCGACTGTTAAGTCCCTATGTCACCCTCTGGTAGAACATAATTAGAGCCATATCCTTAAAGCTTGGTAAGTTAAACGTGGTAGTGCCATACTGCGACTGTATTACGGTCACAAATGGATCCACTAAACCGGGAAAAGACAAGCACCTGATAGAATTTTGATCAGAAAAAATGCATGCGGCAAGACTTACGCAACTTTAATACTGCTCGTATTAAAGAAGCGATCGAGCGGAACCAGGGCTCCAAAGTCTTTGCCAGAGATCTGTCTGCCAGAAAGAGCCAACTGTCAAAGCTGAAGACTGAGTGTGGCAGCATCGTCTCCGGGACTACTGAGATTTTGAGTGAGATTGAGAGGTTCTATGGGCAGCTGTACACATCATCGTTGGAGCTACACGCAAGTGTGAGTAACGATACAAGAGCAAGTCTTACCCGACACTATTCCGATGATATCCCGAACGTCAGTCTGAGCGAGATTAGAATGGCTCTCCAGCACCTTAAAAACGGCAGGGCCCCAGGCGACCACCCTTTGGGGCGCGTTCAGGTGGTGGACGGCAAGCCGCGCCAAACCACGCGCCCACACCGGGGCCCCGTAAAGGGCCATGGATCGCACGATCCCCGCGTAGAGCCTCCGGCAGGAGGCGTTTGGCCCCCCCAGGTTCGGCAGGAGTTCCCTTACGCTCCACCCAGAGCGAAAGGGGTCATTAGATGATTTTCCATCCGCAAAAAAAAAAAAAAAAA